ATAGAGACACCCCAAAAACTCCATACAGACACCCCAAAAACCCATAGAGACACTCCAAAAACCCCATAGAGACACCCCAAAAACACATAGAGACACCCCAAATACCCCATAGAGACACCCTAAAAACCCAGTGCCACCCTCGTGGTGTCCCAGTGTCACCCCCGTGGGGTGCCAGCGGTGTCCCTGTGGTGTCCCAGTGCCATCCCGTGGGTTCCCAGTGCCACCCCATGGTTTCTCAGTGGTGTCCCCACAGTGTCCCAGTACCACACCCCTGGTTTCCCAGTGTCACCCCTGGTTTCCCAGTGTCACCCCCGTGGTTTCCCAGTGCCATCCCTGTGGGTTCCCAGTGCCACCCCGCAGTGTCCCCGCGGTGTCCCAGTGTCACCCCCCTGGTGTCCCAGTGCCACCCCATGGTTTCTCAGTGGTGTCCCCACAGTGTCCCAGTGCCCCCCCGCGGTGTCCCCGCGCTGTCCCCACCTCGATGCGTCCCGTGTCGGGCTGGAAGCCGCGCGCGGGGTCCTCGGTGGTGACGCGGCACTGGATGGCACAACCATTGACCCGAATGTTCTCCTGCACCAGCCCCAGCTCGGGCAGGGACCGGCCCGCGGCCACCTGGAGCTGGGCGTGGACCAGGTCCACGCTGGGGGGGCACAGAGGGGGGGACAGGGGCGGGGGGGGGGGGGGGGGGGGGGGGGCACGGGGGGGGCACAGGGGATACCACCCCACGGGCACGTGGAGCTGGGCGTGGACCAGGTCCCATTACCTCGCGTGTTCAACACCCCGGGAATTTTGGGGTTCCCCTGCTACCCCAAGTGTTCCCCCAGAATTTTTGGGGTTCCCCAGGGTGTTTTTGGAGTTCCCCAGAGTGTTTTTGGGGTTCCCCCTGGGTTTTTGGGGTTCCCCGGGGTGTTTTTGGGGTTCCCCCTGGGTTTTTGGGGTTGCCCGGGGTGTTTTTGGGGTTCCCTGGGGTGTTTTTGGGGTCCCCCGGGGTGTTTTTGGGGTTCCCCCGCCCCGGCTCACTCGGTGATCTCCTCGGTGACCGTGTGCTCCACCTGCAGCCTCGAGTTGACCTCGATGAAATAATAGTCCCCGTTCTGGTCCACCAGGAACTCCACCGTGCCCGCGTTCTCGTAGCCCACCTGGCACCCCAAAATCACACAGGTGAGGGGGGGGCAGACCCCCCACCCTGTTCTCCCCTGTCCCCCCCATTCTGTACCCTCCCAGTCCCCGGGTACCTGCTGTGCCCACCTGGGACCCCAAAATCACACAGGTGAGGGGGGGAGCCAACCCCCCCACCCTATTCTCCCCTGTCCCCCCATTTTGGGGGTACCTGCCGTGCCCAGCTGGCACCCCAAACCACACAGGTGAAAGGGGGGAGCCAGATCCTCCCCCTGTTCTCCCCTGTCCCCCCATTCCATGTCCCCCCCAGTCCCCAGGTACCTGCTGTGCCCACCTGGGACCCCAAAATCACACAGGTGAGGGGGGGAGCCAGCCCTCCCACCCTATTCTCCCCTGTGCCCCCCGCTCTGTGCCCCCCCAGCCCCCGTTTCGGGGGTACCTGCTGTGCCAGGCGCACGGCGTCGTTGGCCAGGCGGGCGCGGAGCTCGGGGGGCAGCCGGGCGGCCGGGGCGATCTCCACCACCTTCTGGTGCCGCCGCTGGATGGAGCAATCCCGCTCGTGCAGGTGCACCACGTTCCCGTGGGAGTCACCTGGGGGGGCACGGGGTCAGGGAACCCCGAAAAGGGATCCAGGAACCCCAGAAATGGATCCAGGAACCCAAAAAGGGACATGGACACCCCAAAAAGGGCCCTGGATGGAGCAATCCCGCTCAGGCAGGTGCACCACGTTCCCATGGGAGTCACCTGGGGGGGCACCCGGGGGGGCACGGGGTCAGGGAACCCCGAAAAGGGACATGGACACCCCAAAAAGAGCCCTGGATGGAACAATCCCTCTCAGGCAGGGGCACCACGTTCCCGTGGGAGCCACCTGGGGAGCAGGGAACCCCAAAAATGGATCCAGGAACCCCGAAAAGGGACCCAGGAACCCCAAAAATGGCCACGGGACCCCCCCAGGCCGTACCCAGGATCTGGACCTCGATGTGCCGCGGCCTCTCGATGAACTTCTCCACGAACAGTTCCCCGTTCCCAAAAGCCGCCAAGGCCTCGGAGGTGGCGCGGGAGAAGTTCTCCTCCAGCTCCTGCGGGACCCCCAAACCTGGCACCCCAAAATCTGGCACCCCAGAACCCCCCAGGGGTACCCCAACTCCCCCAGGGTACCCCAAACCCCCCCGGGACGCCCCCACCCACCAGGTTACCCCAAATCTGGAGGTTTGGGCGTTCCAGGGATTTGGGGTCCTGGGGGATCTGGGCTCTCAAGGATTTCGGATTCCCAGGGATTTGGGGTTCCAGGGATTTGGGGTTCCAGGGATTTGGGGTTCCAGGGATTTGGGCTCCCGTGAGTTTGGAGTCCCAGGGATTTAGGATTCCTAGGGGGGATTTGGGGTCCCAGGAACTTGGGTCCTGGGGATTTGGGGTCCCAGGAATTTGAGGCCCAGGGATTTGGGGTCCAGGGATTTGGGGCCCTGGGGATTTGGGTTTCCAGGAGTTTGGAGTCCCAGGGATTTGGGATTCCTGGGGATTTGGGGTCTGGGAATTTGGGTCCTGGGGATTTGGGGCCCTGGGGGATTTGCGTTTCCTGGGGATTTGGACTCCGGGGAATTTGGAGCCACAGGGAATTTGGGATTCCTGGGGGGGAATCTGGGGTGTGGGAATTTGGCCTCCCGGGGGTTTGGGGTTCCCAGGGGTTGGGGCTCCCGTGGCTTTGGGGTCCCCGTACCTGGGGCTCCCGGACCATCCTCATCCCGCGGCCGCCGCCCCCGTGGGCGGCCTTGAGGATCACGGGGAACCCGACCCGGGAGGCGAATTCCTGAGCCTCGGCCAGCGACGACACCGGGGACGGCGTCCCGGGGACCACCGGGACCCCTGGGGGGACAGCGGGGTCAGGGGGGCACCCTCGGGACCCCCCAAAACCCCACCGGGACCCCTGGGGGGACAGCGGGGTCAGGGGGGCACCCTCGGGACCCCCAAAAACCCCACTGGGACCACCAGGATCCCTGAGGGGACAGGGGGGACAGGGGGGTCAGGGGGGCACCCTCGGGACCCCCCAAGACCCCACTGGGACCCCTGGGGGAACAGGGCTTGGGGAAAACCCAGACCCCCTGGGACATTCCCCCAAAGCCCCCTCAGCCCCCCAAATCCTGCTCTAACCCCCCCAAATTTCACTGTAACCCCCCAAATCTCACTCTAACCTCCCTGAATCCTCCTCCAGCCCCCCCAAAGCCCCCTCTAACCCCCCCAAATGCCCCCCCAGTGCCCCCCATGCCCACCGGCAGCGATGGCGATGCCCCGAGCCTCCACTTTGTCCCCCATCTTGCGCACGACGTCGGGGGAGGGCCCCACGAACCGAACCCCCGCGTCCACACAGGCCTGGGCAAAGTCGGCCCGCTCCGACAGGAACCCGTACCCGGGGTGGATGGCATCGACCCCGTTCTCCTGGGGGGGAAAACGGGGTCAGGGACCTCACCCAGACCCCCCAAACCCGTACCCGGGGTGGGTGGCATCGACCCCGTTCTCCTGGGGGGGAAAAAGGGGGTCAGGGACCTCACCCAGACCACCCAAGCCCCCCCAGACCCGTACCCATGGTGGGTGGCATCGACCCCCTTCTCCTGGGGGGGAAATGGGGTCAGGGGCCTCATCCAGACCCCGAACCAGGGGCACCCAGGGGGGTC